TCCTCTCCAAAACCCGCGCCTGCCACGAAATCAACATTTTAGTGTGAACTCCCTGCCGCAAAAAAAACCTGCTAACCAACCAACCAACAGCCACCTGCCAGCGGCGCCAGCAGCAACCAACCATCTGACCACAACGTAGCATCCCTTTTGTGGGCCATCCGAGGTTAAAATTTAGAATAGGAAGAAGCCTATTGCAACGTGGCATGCCTTTTGTGGGCCACAGATACAGTTTAGAGTAGGAAAAAGCCATTGCAACGTAGCATGCCTTTTGTGGGTAAAATTTAGAAAAGGAAGAAGCCATTGCAACGTAGCGTGCCTTTTGTGGGCCACCCGAGGGTAAAATTTAGAGCAGGAAGGAGCCATTACAACGAAGCATTTCTTTTTGTGAGCCACCCGATGGTAAATTTTAGAGTAGGAAGGAGCCATTACAACGATTTACAACGTAGCATTCCTTTGATGGGCCATTCGAAAGTAAAATTTAGAAAAGGAAGAAGCCATTGCAACGTAGCATGCCTTTTGTGGGCCACCCGAGGGTAAAATTTACAGCCGGAAGGAGCCATTATATTACACTGTAGCATTCCTGTTATGGGCCATTTGAAGGTGAACTTTAGAATAGGAAGGAGCCATTACAACGCAGCATTAGTTCGAATTCGACTTCGAATCGACGATAATTTTTTCACTCCGGGGGGGGAACTAGTTCGAGTTTGAGTTCGAATTCCAATCGACGACAATTTTGACGCCCGGAGGGGGGGAAACGCAGTTCGAGTTCGAGATCAAATTTCGAATCGACGACAATTTTGACACCGGGGGGGGGACCAGTTCGAGTTCGAGTTCGAATTCGAATTCGAATCGACGACAGCGATTTTGGAGTTCGACTCTTTCTATTCGTCCACTGGGTTGACTTCTAACAGTTCCAGTTCGAGTTCGAGATCGAGTTCGAGATCGAGTTCGAGTTCGAGTTCGAGTTCGGTTCCTTCCATATATATCCTTTCAAGGTTAAGTTCATCAATACTGTATAACTGTTTCAGTTCGAGTTCGAGTTCGAGTTCGAGCGGGGCACACTATGCAAAAAGTTGAAAATAGAAATATCTTAAACTCGCCACCCAGCTCAGGTACTGTACAGACATAAACGACCCCCAGCCATCATTGGACCCGACCACTTCTGGAGGGTGTTTGACTTTTGACCCTGCTTTTCGCAGGGGTTTGGACCCTGAAAGACCTTCACCGGCTTTTCCGGTCCTTGATTCTTAGGGGAAGAACAGACTTGTCTCACAACTTGTGCTGTCGGACTTGTCCCATCCCCATCCCCCACTGATGTGGTCCAATCCACACCTGTTGACCAGCACACCGCTTTTGGGTTTTGCTTCAGCCACCCATCCAGTGCTGCCCAAGATGTTTGCCCTTCGCATCTGTTCCGAAATAAACCTCCAACATTATGTGTTCCAAAAGAAACACCGGCGCCATCCTCCCCAAATCATCCAGTCCCAGTCCGGCCACACAATCCCCGTGGGTCACGAGGATCAAGTTGGCACCACCAAGCTTTCCTGCCTCCGCGAGAAGCGATGGCTGCGAAGCGAAGAAACGCAAAAAAGACCGTGGCGGCGGCGGAGAAAGATGCATCGGACAATTGCACGAAGAAAGGAGGACATGCCAAGATTTGTCTGCCTGCTTTCTCAGTTTGATCTGTGTCTTACTTTTTTCACCCTCATAGGGAACGTGTTGGCCCAGATCCTGTCCCACAGCGCCAGTGAGTGGTCTGCAAAGTGGTCCTGCATCCACCTGTGGAGAGACCTGAATTGGGACCCCTACAGTCTACAGTGGTACATGTATGGTACATATACCAGGACCTTCCAACAGGCGGTTCTTGGACACCTCCTAAACCTCTAAGAGGCTATTTACAGACACCTCTTGGAAGGTCCTGGTATGGAATGTACGGAAAAAAAACAAGGGTTCTTCAACCATGTTCAACCTCTCTAGGCACCACCCAAACACCACAGAAAACACCCACATCCCCGCTCCGTGGACCGAGCTCGGTGGGGACCGGCGTCTCCTTGTCGCTGAGCTCTTCGACCCGGATGGCCAAGCGTAACTTGCCGTTCTTCTCGGGCCATTCCGGAGCGTTGCCTTCAGCCGCTGCGACGGGAGCGTTGCCTTCTTTGGTCGATCGGGATGGATCGAGGATGGATCGGCAGGATCAGGCGGGAGAAATAAATACTGAGATCCTGTAGCTGGTGTCTGGAACACCTATCAAAATCTAGTGGTTCTAGACTTGACCATCAAAAGAACAAATCCGAAACCTCTAGGCTGGTGTCGCAAAGAGCAGTCCAGAGATTCTAAACTGTATTGAAAAAATACACCAAAGTAGCCCAAAAAAGTTGAGCGTTTGCATCGGTTTGTTGATTGTTTGCATCTGCGTTGTGTTCTTGGTCTTGGTTGTCGTTTCAGGTGGTTCACACAACGGCGTTGTGTTTCTCGTCGATTGTGTCTAAATGTTCCGTTGTGTTCTTAGGTGTTTGGGCGTCCCTAGCTCATTTCCGGTAAGGTTTACACATATAATGAAAGCTAGATCCTTCTTGATCGTTTTAGCCAAACACCCCAAAAAAGAACGCCATGATCGGTTGGGGGTGCAGGTGTATTGTGACTTTCCAGCATGCTAAATTCAATAGAGCCATGATCGATGTTTATTGGGCCGATGGCCCAATTAGGCGTTCGCCAGCAAAACGGCATCTCGAAGGAAACAAGATTTTTGAACCATCACTCATTGCGCTTCTCCATGTACAGTATCTCGTCTGATTCGCGCCTATGAAGCCATCGGAGGTGAGTTTGCCCTCATCGTCCATGCCAACAATCCTGCGATGGAGCCATGACACCACCAGGACAGAGTAACAAATGGGTGGATGTATATTTATTTAAATAGGGAGACTCCCAACCATTGGGTAGACTGGTCATTGGTCGATGTCCGTTCTTCCAGGGGGCTTGGAACGCCTGGGTGGTCTCCAAGGGACCATTTTCCACGTCCATGATGAGTTCAGGGAGTGTATGTCTAGTGAGTTTAGTGAGTAAAGGTGCACGGGATTCTTTTGCTGTCCCTCCCATGTGATACATACACAGAGCCACCGGCCAATTCTCATCTGTGTTCAACTTCCGCAAGGATCTTTCGTCTATCATTTGCTGGAAATACCCAGGAGATTGAGACAGCGCTTCCTTCGTCAACAAGTGCAAGGCTACCGTAGAGGTCCACTGCTTGTCCAACACTCAAATGGCACTGTGTCCAAAGCATGAAGCCATCGCAAACGATGCAGCCTATATAGTGTGCAATGCAAATATTGCGTGTAAGTGACGTGAAAGCTGACGAGCAAGCCAGAGACTGGCCAACACCTTCCAGTGTCCCAATCAGTGGATCTAGAGCCATACCCGTGGGTCGTTCCAAGTTCGTCTGAGCGATCAATGCCTCCTATTCATCCCTCTCGCCCTCACTCAAGCGAACCCTCCGCCCCACTCACTCATCACCTCTCCCAAACCCCCCGGATCTTCCTGAAAAAAGCCATGAAACTCCACCTGCACCAGTCACTACGTACCCCCACTATATACCCTCTCTCTGCACGGCGCGCTGAGGGAAGATCTTCCCCCCACTGTATATCCAATCAGCGCGACAAAAGGTCCTTCCCCTTTCCCCCTCCTCCGAAATCTCCCCACCCCAGCGCTGCCCTCGTCGTTTCACCCGGTCGTTTCCCTCGATCCCTCAGATCCCTCCCCTCCCGTCGTCGAAACTCGACCTCGGCCGGGCCTCACGTCGGTGGGCACGTAGGCGCAAATCTCCTCGGCACTGCGCATCTTGGGCCCCGGCGGCTCCCAGGCGCCGAAGTACGCCGGAGAGAAGACCTCGCCTCGAAGTACGCGTGGGGGCCGCTGGCGGGGGGGGGGAATGAAGTGTTCAGTGTGGGACAACGGCGTTCGGTGGAAACGGTTCGGTGTTGTGGAGTGTTGGGGTGTTGGGGTGTTGTGTTCGGTGTTCGGTTCGTTTTGGTTTTGACTGTGTGGTTTGGATTCAAAGATCGAATCTGTGGCCAGAGACCCAGAATGACCCAGAGAACGTCTCAGGAATAGAACAAACTGCGGTCTTCCGGTCTTCCTTCTGTAGTTTTCTTGTGTGTAAGGAACTTCTATCAAGAGATATGTAGCAGGAGGCCAAAGTCAAGCTCTAGGGAAGCTAGCCCAGTCTTTCAGCAACACTGTGACTTGGGTATGAAAAGGCAAACCCCAAAATGGACCAAGTCCTCAGGCAGGGTCCTCGTCCCAAGTCTTCCAAGCAAGAGAAAGCAGAGCAAGCAGCAACACCCAGGTCGGGTGGTTTTTTTTTGTGGTTTTGGAACCTCCCTGATGATGTACTTTCAATTCACTCAAACTGATGCTGGAAGGTTGCTGTTTCCCAAAACACCCAGTTTCCATGTGACCACACGCATTAACTCGAGTTCATCTCAAGGTTTCTGTTGTGATTACCTTCCTTCGGGTGTTCCAAAAAAAGGGAAGACTAACATCTCCGGATCTACGCCTCCTCCTTACAACAGCTGTTAATCAAACAACATGTATATACCTATATACAGTATATATAATAAGAGGTTGTGTCGTCCAAATGGGAAAGTAATTAATGCTTCATATACACCTTCTTATACCCCTTCAACCCTTCAACCTGGAGGAAAAAAAACATCCAAATCAACAGAGAAATCCCTCCCCTCTGCTCTTCGGTCTCTTTGTGCGATCAGGATGCCCAATTGCCGATCCACGCAGAGCGCACAGTGGAAGACTCGGCAAATCTCCACCGCCGTTTCGATACACCTGGCGACGTCGGTAAAAACTCCGTGGCGGCGTGGGGCGAAACGCCGGATGTGCCATGTCCCATTCGGAAGCCCGAAAAAGACAAAATGCAAATATTAATATATATATATATATATAACATATACTGTATATATATAACACATATAATATATATATAACATATAGTTTTTAAAACACTGGTTTTGCCAGGTTTGGGGATTTAACCAGTTCAGGGCAAGTATAAAATCACCGTAAGTAAGCAGACCTGGCTATGATGGGTCATCACCAGTCTCGACCGACCGGTTGATCCATCCGGTTTTGTCTCAGACATGGACGATGTCTCAGACATGGCTGTGGGTCAAAGCCGAATGACCCAGGTTGACCACCGACGGGAAGAACAGAATAGACGACTATATATAGGGAGGTCAACCTACTAAGGATTGGGGTGCAGGTTTTGACAAAAAATGGTGGTGCCATCCACTTCACAATGTGTTGTCGAAGTGTATATCACCCGTGCAGCAATGTTCTTGCCAAGCAGAATGTCCGCTCCCAGGCCAATCCAAGATTTTGGCATCAGTGGATGATATTGGATCATGGAAAATGTCCGTGGAAAAAACACTGGAGACACTCGGCCTGGCAAAACTGAACAAAGACACATGCAGTGTCTTAGTCGGGGTTCTCTCCATGGCGAGGAAGTGCTGGGTGCCCTCGGTCTGTTCCATCCACTCACGACCACGGCGACCAACTGGGTGCTCACTGGATGGGTCTCAGCTTCCAACGAACTGCTGGCATCTGGCACACAGACCCTTGCCATATGGGACCGACCCTGGCCGTCAGATGGGACCGAGCCTGGGGGGTGCTTCATCCCACCCAAAATGGAACAGAATCGACCACGTACCGAGACATCCCCAGATCCAGAGCCGAGTCCCAGGACCTCACCACGACCTCGCGACGGGACGCGGAGGGTCGTGGTCCGAGACGCGGTGCCGTCCGCGCGGGTCGCGGTGCCGGACCTAATCGTCCGAGCGGTGAGGACCCGCCTGATGAAGGGAGAGGAAACGACCATGGAGAAGTCTCCATACTTGGCAAAGAGCTCCTGGGTCGAGGTTCAAGGAGGTTCAAGGAGGTTCAAGGAGGTTCAAGGAGGTTCAAGGGTCCAGGGTGGATGTCTCTGGTATATTTCGTTGAGCTTGAGAAAGGGACAATAGAAAGGCCCAACAAAGAGTGGGTCGATCGATCAAAAGTGCTGCGTTTGTTCGTGTCCGTTGAATTCCTTGAAGTGTTTTCGGCCGCAACTCTGAAGGAATCACGATTTCTGGTACACCCCACCTGCTTGGAAAATGTGCGTCCAATCACCCGGTCCAAACCAGGTCCTTTTTACCTCATTGAGAAGTGTTTTTTGCATGATCCAACTTCAGTAAACTGAGGGTTCAGATCTTCCCCGATGAAGCCCACTTTTGATGCTAAATCTGCCTGTTCCAATGCTTGGATTCGGTTCCTGGATTGCTGTTGGTCACCGGAATTTCACATCCACCAGGACTGGACAAATCTGGAAAGACCACCGCTTTCCCCAGAATGTCAAAGAAAATGCCTTTGCAGAACCCAAGTTACTTCATGTTACTTCACTGTCTCACATGTATATATACGGTATATGAGATCAACCATCTTCAACCTCATCATGACAAAACATCATCACGAGCAGAGTGCCATCCTCATCCCTACATCTGTCATTTCTTTCAACCTCACCCCCCATCTTCCCCCTCCTTGGCCACGCCCCTCGCTTGCTTGGTACCCGTCAAGGTCAAGGGTGGGTCGAAAGGATATCTCCGTCCCAGCATCGACCGAAACCTCGGGCTCCGACTCTCCGGCCGGCGGGACGGCACGTGGCGGCATGTGATGCGGCACTCGTGGCGGGCACGACGTATGTCTCAGGGTCTCAGGGGGGTGCTGAAATCATCCCATCCAAGGGAAGCCCAAGGCTACGTGAGCCAACCCCCCGATTTCAGAGGGGTCGACTGGTAGACTGGCAGTAAGTCCATGAAAGCAATACGTCAGGAAGACAATGAAAACCATGAGAGTTGGCCTCTCATGTTGAGACAAACCGACCGACGCACGCTTCGAGTGAAAATGCTTTGTGCCTGGTGGCCTTCACAAGGGAAAGCTCCTGGCTTTCACAAAGAGCATCTGGCAAATCTCAGTCAGGACATGTCCAACCAAACCAGCATGCCAGGCATTGGGTACCCCAGCAGCTATGACTTTACGAAGAAGCCTGAAGCCCAGCAACAAAAACACGCCTTTTGCGGTGATTCAGCACCCAAACCATACAAATCCAGTCGACTGGACCCTCAGTCTGCTCAGTCCCCTCAGTCCCCTCCTCCCGCCCCTGCTGCTCACACCAGGAAGCCACATCCTTGGATTCGCCTGATCCGCGCGTTCCCCGTGCCGCAGCACTGCCAGTCGCAGGGTGCGTGCCGTGGCGGGCGCCTGCTTTTCTGCCGTGGCGGAGGAATGTTGGGGACGCCGAAGGCATCACTTGCCTCAAAAATGGGGTTTCCCATTGTATCCCCAAGCAACCCCCCAATTCATGGCAAATTGACTGAAAGCTGCGAGTCCTGAGGGTCTTCGAGGGTCTTCTTTTTGCAGCATCCACTTCTGGTTGGTGGTTTCAAGTCACTTGAAAAAAATGATAAGTCAGTGGGTCGAAAATAAGACCTGTCTGAAAACACCCACCTACACTTTCGTGTCCCTCCACGTTGGCCTCCTCCTCACCCCCTTCCACTGGTCCCAAAGAGTGCCTCATGTGGCAGTGTGGAGATGTCGGTGTCGTCACAAAGGTTGCACATGGAGCGACCGCTGCAGACCCCCATGGCGTCCCGTGCTGAGCCGGCGTGGCGTGTGGAGATGTGTAAAGCGGGCTGACTCGTGGAGCGGGCTGACTCCAGACGCACTGAACTTTTTTGAAACAATTCTTGTTTAAGCCACTTGGGGTACTGATACCCAGCATGTTTGTGTTCTGTTGGTTGGACTGTAGATGGGATGGATCTTGCCGTCAGGAGGTTGGCACTGTACAAATCAACTCAAGAAAGGCTCAACTCAAGTATATGCTTGCTAAAAAAGGGCTCTTCTCAAGTATTCTCAACATTGAAAGAAGGCCGTGGAAGTGTTTAAACATGAAACTTTGGCCATCCACTGCAGTGGTGAAGAGAACTGTCTTGATCCATCCGCCCACGACTGCCCAGAATGGCTCCAGGATGCCCAAAATGAGGTCTTTTGGTGCGGACAGGAGATGGCGTTCGCATGGTTCGATGTCTTGCAAGTTATATAGTCCCTATACTAGCCTTTTGTAGAGGCAAATGACCATGTCACGGCTTAGTCACTGTAAATGCTATAGAGAAATCATGATGCCTCATTTTTGTAAACAAAGTTCATGCCCCTCCAAGTAACCTAGTGCGCACGCAAACCCTAACTTCATGGGAGCTTGAGCTTAGACTGAAATCATATGATATGAATATCATGAATATCAATGTCTCCCAAAATCGACACTTTAAGAGGTCTCAATGTCTCAAGCTCTCCCTTTAAAAGTCTCACCCAAAACCACCAAAAGCACCCTGGGGCGCCTCGGGCGCTGCGTCCAAGATGAGTTGAGGCACCTGGACCGATCCCGGTGGCGCCGCCGACTGCGAGGAGCATGTCTCAAAGCAGTGGAGGACCCGCAAACTAAACAAGTCCCAGGCCCCCTAATTAAGTGATGTCTAATAGTCCCTTAGATGGGTTTTTGTTTTTTGTGGGAGGGTCTATTCCACCATCCGTTAGGGGGCCCTGGTCTATTCACATACACAACGACCCATGAGCGCAAACGGTGTTCAGTTCTGAAGTTCACGGCCGCGGAAGGGCGGGTCCAGGACTGAGAGGTGGCGTGGTCAGTGATGAATGATGTGGCTAGTCGAGGCTGGGTATGTATATCCCATTGATATACAGTACCAGTTTTCAGTTGATGATGGCGAAGTTGCAGGCCTTTCTGAAAAAAATGTGAGAATCGTTAACCCCTTCCTGTTACCGGGAACGGGACGCAATATCATGCATAGGGTGTGAGCCTCAAAACTATTGTGGACTTCCAAGTGTTCAAGCCACGCCCGCTGCGTGCAGTTTCGTTGGCCAGGCGATGTTTGCGATTGTTCCTGCAAAAGGAGTTCATACGAATGTGTATTCTGAAAGGAATACCCACTGGCCCAATAGGAAGACTGGCCTGCCCCTGAACCTTCCGTTGCCTGGGAGGTCTCACGGTCTCACACTTCGCATACACACCTATCGTATGGTTTCTTGGTGCGGGCGTCCTAGCTGAAGACTACCGAGTAGAATCAAATTAGAAGCGAAAGCATGCGGTCGACCTCTGCCTCCAACAGGTCCCTTCCGAAGCTCGGCGAGACGAACGATCCTCCGCGCGCACGCGACGACGACGGAAAGCACCTGGGTGGATTTTCCACAGCCGGTCTCACCACTCAGCAGCACGACCTGGTTTTCCTTCACCGCATTGATCTTAGCCACCAGGGCTGCTCAAAGCCATGTGGAGACTGAAGAAGGGTTCTGGAGATGAAGCTGCTACAAGTCTTTGGGGAAGTTCTCAGACAGCGGAATGTCACTGGGTTGGATTGCGCAACAAAGGATGAAAAGACTGAGCGCATCCTACCTTTCTTGTATCTACGCCAATACACTGTGACTCACTCACATGCAAGTGGATGGCATGGTCCCTTTGTAAACGTCTTTCCTTTACGAACGGGGGTAAACTCCACTTCCATAATATGTCTAAGAGTCAAAACCTGGAGCCCGTTTCAACACATTTAAAACAAAAAAACATGTCAATTGTATTGTATGTGTTGTTGTTTGTATTGTTTTTTGTTGGCCTAAGAAAGGATTCACCTAGTCATGAGAGAAAACACCAATGGGCACTAGAATGTCACGGCTGGCAGATGTGTCTGGCTTGTACCAGACACACAGGTCTATGTGCATGTATCACTTATCACTACTCATCATCACATAAACCCACTGGACAGGCCTTGGGTGAATCATAAACCGTGTCTGAGAAGCTCCAGAGAAACCTCACGCCAGCCACTACCATATTTGTGGTTCTGTCTATTTTTTGGGGGGGCCGAGTCTAGCAGGTTCCAATACCGACCATGACAATGCCCATGAAGACAAGTTGCCACTTGTTCTCGTTGCTTAAAGGCGGGAAGTGCCTGTGCCGAGCGTTTGAGATGATGCGCTCCCACTCCAGGGGATCCCAACGCCAGAGTCATGTGACACTCGAAAAAAGATATCGTGGACACAGAGATGGATCCCCCATGTGATAGCTTCATAGCAATCGGCTTCAGCTGTTGACATCTTGCTGTGAAGCAAGCAATGCCGCTACTAATTAGAGGATGTACCTGCATCTCGAGGCTAATTATGGTCTGCAAAGAAGCGATCATATATTGAGTATTTGTTTGTTATGTATTGTTTCCTGCGGAATTGGGTCAAACAAAGCCCAACTGCTGAAACCCCGACAGCCCCAAAATCTTCAATCAACAAAAATGCAAACATTGAATTAAACTGGATGCCACTTGCGGTTCACCCACACTGCAAAACGTCTTCTATCACCCTCATTCCGAATGCGCACCACGGCGGATCGTCACTGTGGACACTCGGGTCGCAACAGTAAAACCTCTTCTACCCCACATGCTCCGGAAGGTTCGTCCCTCGGCTAGAGCAGTGTCGCCAGCGTCCAATGGTAAAACCTCTTCGTACTGGCCCTGTGTATAATCCACCAATCAATTCACCCCCAACCCAGCCGACCCAGCCCACCCACCTGACGTCCCGGGCGCCTCTCGCTTCTCGCCCAGTGCCGGGTACTGCGGCAGCGCCCGACCTCAGAGCTGCCCGGAAGCGAATGCGTGTCGGAGGATGCGCTTCAGCAGGAAACTTCTGAGGCCACATATTCAGAAGAGTTCGGGTGTTACATATTTCATGGCATTTCAACCGCCAATGTAAAGGAGATTGCCATTATAAAAGTGTCGTGAATGGCCAGAGTTTTAGCTGATCTCGGACCAGTCGTGGATCCGCTTGCACCAGAAGCGAAGGAAAGCGGCAGTAAAGGTGCACAAGGAAAGCGGGAATGAAGGGAACATCTCCGACTCATTCTGATGGCGCATGAGGGACGGGTTTGTTCAGCAGTGTGTTGTGTCCAGAAGAAAGTATTGGTCAAAAGACATGGCGCAGCAGTCGTTTGGGTTGGGAAGGTTCGCGGCAAAAAGGCATGGATTCGTCCAATTTTGCACAAAATTTGACCAAATGGTCAAATGTTTTCAGGGGATCCAAGAATGATCACGAATGCTTTGGAACATGAATGACACCCTTTTGGGGGAGACGAAACCATGTGAACAATGGCCTTGTGCCACAAAGAGAGAAGTATACACAAATCAAGTCCTTGCTTTCAAGAATGGGGATGCAACCTCGAATACATCGACATCTGCGATATGCTCCGGGTTGTCGACACATCTTAAACCATCTGTCATACACGTGTCCTTGCGTGAAACCAACAAGTTACAGTAATGGTAGTTTGTGGCTTTGCTGTCTACAATTTGTTTCCTAAAAACGTTGTTGGGCAATGTGAAACCATAGCTCCGATGCTCTCGCGTCATCTCGTCTGGTCGTCTCACAGACTCGAAGCTCACCGACCAAACGACCGAGCAACTGATCCAAAGGAGGTGTATGTGAACCGTGTCCTGCTGAGGACTTTTTAGGTCCAAAATTGGCAAAATCAAAGTACCGTTGAAGGATACCAACATGATTGAACTATATACCAATCTCCAATGCACCCAGACATCATCAACCATTCAAAAAGAAAAACACAAGTTTTTCAGGTCGGGTCCATGACGTCATTCTTTCCGCCAATCAACGTGGAGGTCGTTTCTGCCGATCAACGCCAACGTCGCCGCTGAGAGCCCGCCCAAATTCCTCCAAGAAGCGTTCTTCGAGGGCAGACTCCTTAGAGAATGGATGATTGTTTGACCAGTCGAAGACCTCATTTGGCTCTAAGTTACCAGGGTTCTAAGTTGAACGACCCAACCCGATTTTGCTGGACTTGGTCAGAACATGTCAGAACAAAGTTTGAGTTTTCCTGGTGAAACTTTGATGTGGAACGACCCAGTTCAAGGCAAATTGACAGTTCCAAATTAATAAGGGCTTAGGCGTTTAGTGACAGTTTTCAGCAAACCCATTGTTAGCAGCATTGAAGCCAGCAAACTACAGGCTTTGAGGCTGCTTCCCTACTTAAAACTTGATATGGAACGAGCCAAGTCAACGCGAATTTGGGAGGAACCCGTTCTTCACAACTCTAAACTAACAATGTTTAGGCGCCTAGCGTCAATTTTCAGCTTGATTTGCGCGAGTGCGCAACGGAATCGAAGCCCTGCCGCGTTCCAGCGGGCAGGGTGGCCCCAAACTCGGAATTGGAACCCCAGTTATCCTCTCTCATTGACATGATTTTTCAACTCGCGCGCTTGACGCTCGCTCAATCCTTCGGGCACTCGCTCGCGTCTGCACACGTGCAGGCTTGCGGTATTGAGGTTTATGTGAGATGGAACATTTCGCACATCCAGGCCGGCGAGATTCCAAAAGGAACAGTCAAAGACCTGAAGAAACTCAACAAGTCACTTCGGTTCCCAAAGCAGCATGCCAACCTGACGCTGCAGTTCATGGCAAAGAATGAGAAGAAGAAGAAGAAGAAGGATGCCACTTTGAATGGGCTTTGTTTGGTGTGGTATGCGGATGCAGCCTTTTGCGTCCGAGCTGACAAGACAAGCCAAGGCGGCTTTGTGATCTTTGCGTGTGAAATGGAGTTCTGAGCGGGCAGAAATGCCCAGCTTCAATCATGTCCTGGCGATCGTTCAAGGCACCAAAAAAACAAAAAGAAACGACAAACCAAACCAATGAAGTATGTACAGCAAAAGTTATTGGGTCGATAGTTGTTGTTTTTCGCCGTTCCTTTTTGTTTGTTGCTTTTTGGTTTGGGTGATTATGTCACACAGACAGCAAGGAGAATAGCCATGCTGAAGCCTTCTTGGCACAAACAAATAATAGCCAAGACTGACATTAAGACAAAAATATGAAAGTAGTACAAGATAGCAGTATATACAATATGTATATGAAGACTATTCGGTTACAGTACTAATTTTTGAATTGTTGATTCTTGGAATATTTGTTCATGGCATGAGTTATCCAAAAATCAAAAACTATTAACCCAATAGTTTTTGCTGCACCAACATGCATTGGGTTGGACTTTTGATGTTTTTCGACTTTTGGGTTGATGGCACAAGGAACCCAACAAAATCCAAAACTATTGACCCAATAGCCTTTGCTGCACCAATATCCATTGGGCTGGATCCCTTTTGATTTTTTGGATCATGCATGCCATATGTGGGCCATAAACCAAAAGCTATTTGCCCAATAGTCTTTGCTGCACCAAGATCCATTGGGTTGGATTTTTTTCGATTTTTTGGATTGTGGCTCATGACTGCAGTGCAGTGCAGAGATTCAGATATTGTGATGATTGTGATTGAGTGCAACGCAAAAAAAGATACAAAATGAGAAAAAGTGTATATACCGTGGTCCCCTGTTCTGTTTCTTGTCCAGTCAACGTTTAATAAGAAACACAACTTATTATAGGCTTCCGGACTGTTTGGTTTGCAAGCATTTGCTTGGTTTGTCTGGTGTTGGGGTCAAGGCTCAGCACAACAGTTTGGAGTGGCCCTAGCGCGACCGTCGCGTGTGTGCATGGCGGCGCTTGGTCGGTGGGAACCGGCCTGGCATCGGCGGCTCAGGTTGACAAGGAAGAGAGCTCGACTCAGGTGGATCAAGAGCGTCAAAGAAAATTGCAGTGCAAGATTTTCATCACAGTTCTACACCTTCGATCATTGAGAGTGTGGACTAGCTTCTATTGCAAAGTTCCGTGAAATGCAAACAGTGCCAAGGTTGGTGGGAAGATGTTTGGAACGAAGAGAGCAATACCAGAACCGCTTTCGTCAAGAGAGAGGAGAAAGAGATCGAAATCCACTCAAAAATCACTCGAAGAGCGATCCGCTTTCGCCTTTTGGTGGAGCCAAATCGCAGGAGGAGAAAGCAAGTTCGACAATTGCTGTGCCTTGGACAGCCAATAATTGAATCAAGGTGCAAGGTCGAGCACATGTGGTCCACAGTTCGGCGGCTCCGCTGCGGACTCAGACTCAGCGGCAGCTCCACCACGATCCTCCACACGGTCGAGCTTGGGGCCATCCACTTTGATCGAAGAGTTGGTTAGACCAAGTCTTGAGACTACGTCTGGAATGGACCGCAAGCTGGTCGTGATCCTGTCCGAGAAGTGCTTTCACGGTGAACGTAGTCCACTTTGGCGGGCTTTGGCGTTGGCCGTGAAACGTCGAGGGACTACTTCACGGACCTCTTGCTCTGGTTGCGACCCACGGCCTTGGTCACAACAGTGCGCAACGCTCCTTTTTCTGTAAGCCCCGCGCGTGTACGGTTCACTTGGCTTGAGCTGGCCAAAGGCACTTGGAGCTTGAACCTCCGAGGGTCGCCTGGCAGAGCTTCAAAGTCCTGGACCTTTGACCAGCAGGTGCATGATGTGCATGCAGGTGCCATCGATGACTGGAGGTTCTCCATGTGTTTCACGGACATCTGGAGCCTACACTCCATGTGTTCCACATCCTTCCGTGGATGGCACCGCCTGTTGAGTTGAAGGCGGTGCCAACCTTCTTTTAGTAGTGTGTAGATGAAGGTCTTCCGAAATCCGAGCCATGCCATCCACGGAACCATGGAACAGTTCCAGGGAAACTTAGCTTTGGCCCTCTCATTTGGCAGGTCATCGCTTCGGTCCTCGCTTTGGCCGCCTTCCTATGTCTTCGGTCGTGAATCGATGTGCATACAAATGCTGGTGAATGCTCCAGCATTGCGAAGTAAGATGTGAGCAAAACAGCAAACGCAAGTGCTGGATGTGCCCTCCCCATTGAACCCATCTCGTCACGGAAGGTGTTGATTGTCCGTGCTTCTCCGTCCTGGCCTCCCAGAATTCACGTTCCCCCCCCGTTCCACGTGGAATCTCCCTCTGGACAAGGCACCATGGTCTCCACGCTCATGTCTACACCAGCGAACTCCAGGGTCACATCTTCAGTCCCTGAGGAAAAAGAACACCATCGGTCGGATGTCGGTACACCATGTGGGCGTTTTGGGCATCGGCCACTGGAGAGATCTCTTCGATTCATTTCTTGGAACAAATAGGCTCCCCAGTTGGCCTTTTCACCAGATGGTGGAACCAGGATGTGTCATGGGAATCCCAAAGCTATTCGACAATCGCTGGAACCATTTCGCATATGACGAAGCAGATTTGTTGTGACCCAATGGGGGCCAATAGTCGCTCTCGTCGGTGAATCATCTGTCACATTCGGAAAGCACCATCATAAAATTGATGCCACACCCAACCTATATACAGTAGTCCTAGAACCTGAGTGACCCCTGTTTTGGAGGATCAACTATCCAAATTATTTGGCCTTTTCCTATCATCTGGAACATCCAAATCAATTGGCAACGGGTGAATTGTTTGGCTCCGACGTGTCAAACGGGCGGCTGAGGGAAGCCTTTTTTCCACCAGTTGTGCGCATGGCTTAGCCATGCAGTCCCAGGGCAAGGTGGCCACTGCGCAAAAGACTAGAAACAACACTTGAACCACAAGAAGTAGCATTATCTTCCCGAATCAATCCAGATTCAGATGTCTTCCGTCTTGGTGCTACCGCCCAGGTCAAGCATACTCTATAACTATAATCTAGCCATGCTTCTGGAAACATGCAAAGCAACCTGATGTGGCCACACAAATCGAGACCTTACACAGCTGGCATGGTGAAACTGGCAGCTTCTCATCTGGCAGTGAGCTACCCCAGGCTGGATGATCCAGCCCAGGCTGGAGAAGCATTGTTTCGGTAAAGAGAAGCCAAGTCTGGACAATTCGTTCGGGCCGGGAATTGCTTCAAAAAACTATCCAAAGCCCCAGAGACTGCCGTTATTTGACCCACTGCCACAAGCAGCTTCTCAGACGATCTCCGCGCCCGCGGGAGAACGCGTCATTTTGACTTGCAATCCTGACATCCACGGAGTCGGCGAAACACGGAGAGCCACGAGTGCTTGAGGTATCTCACTTTAGTGAAAAAGTGAGTCCTATTGGCATTCTGGCGAGATCAGGAATGTACCTAGACATATCTAAGCTGGTTTGGCGAATCTCCAGCCACCATTGCTTTGGCAGCAAATGGTCACGAACAGGAAAATCAGGCAATGTAGAATCTTGATTAATGAACCTCCCATATATGCCATATATCATATATAATACAATATATAACATATACAAACAAACAAAAAACTATATATCGTACATATATTGTAATGTAGTAATATATATATATAAAGAGGTTTTACACATGGGGGGTGTTATGAATCAAGACTGTACATGGCCTTGCAACCGGAAGGATCCCTTCGGACCGGAGGAAAGGTCCTTCCTTTGAACAGCCTTTTTCTACAGGTCTTCTCTTACATCGAAAGCTCAGACCACCCAAAGATTCCAGGTTTTGGGCTGCAGCAAAAAGAAAACCTCAGCCGAAAACCAGGTGCCCCAGCACGAAGTGAAGCACGAACACCAAGAGTTGCTCCAAAACAGAACACCTCATTTGGGTTGGCCGATCCTCACCACACCCACCCTTCCCACCCTTCCGTCGTTGTTCGCCTTGTCGGGCGCGGTGCCCGCCCAGTTCCGGCGTGCCAGCAGGGAGCCGCGCATGCGGCCATCCCAGCCGGAGTCCTCCCCGGTCGGTCGGTCGGTGCGGCACTCGTGCAGTGATGAGTGCCAAGGAGGGTACGGAGTGGATCCAAAGGTCAGTTTGGTAGGGTCAGTGTTGTGGGGGGGATCCGAACTTGTGCCAAAGCAGCTATGGAGCGAAATCAAACCATTCCAAAGCTATCCGAGAGAAAACGGCCAGAATCGTGAAACATGGTTTATTGTGCGTGATTGGAATAGAAAATGGCCAGATCCAGATCCATGTCCATATCCAAGCATGTCCATATCATGTTCGTATATACAGTATTGTCCATGCTGTTCCATCTTTCTTCCGAAACCGCCCTTCGTGGAGCCCAGGCGGTTTGGCCCCATTTTCACCCACCCAGGTTCGAAGGCGAGTGACGCGTGACGCCGGTCTGAGCCGAGAAGGGGCTTTTGGCTCCGTCCTGTGGTCAATCCTGGAGATCGAGTGAACGAATAACGGCACTGTTTACATCGAAAGAGCCTAAAAAACTCAAAAACACCTCCGCCCCCCCCCAAAAAGAACCGCCCGCAAAAACCCGCACCCGAAAGACACCTCTGGCCGCGTCGCGCGGCGGAAGCGGCAGCAGCGGTCCTCCCCGAAGCGCCGCGTGGCCAGGCCGTGGAAGGGCGACGCCGGGGCGCCGTTCGCCCCGGGTAGCAGGGAGGCACCACCCATCGCCTGGCAAAAGGCATGCCGCTGCTTAAGACGTTGGTGACTTAGGTGCTTCAACAACGAAAGGACGCATTGGTTAAGGCGAATTGGTGAAGGCCTAAATTGATGGCGACCTGCCGGATCATGTGCCGTGTTTTGAGGCGACCCAGGTGTGACATTTGGAGGGAATGATTTGGACCTAAAGAGCTAAGCAAATCCGCCTAAGAGCTAATGCACCCTAGTCCATAGTTGTAGAAGACTTGCCCAAGCATACCATCAATCACGCCGCCTAACTGATGATTTTTTTCCTCCTACCACATCCAATGGGTGTTCGATGGACTACCCCCTACTACTTAGGGATCTCCATTGGACACCCAGACAGGATGGTCCTGGTATAGAGTTTCTTTCAAAAGACTCGCTGCGAATCCAGGGGCGAATCTTGGTAGTAACAAGTGCATCGCTACTAGTAACAAGTGCCTTACTAGTAGTAGCAAGAAGCTACTAGTAACAAGTGCCTTACTAGTAGTAGCAAGAAGCTACTAGTAACAAGTGCCTTACTAGTAGTAGCAAGAAGCTACTAGTAACAAGTGCCTTACGAGTAGTAGCAAGAAGCTACTAGTAACAAGTGCCTTACTAGTAGTAGCAAGAAGCTATTAGGAAGAACTCCGAAGCATCGTCGCCCAAGAATCACCGCCTGTGGTAAGCTCTGCGATCGGTGCAACTGGGCTTTCTCTTCACCCCACTCCTCGGCAGATATTGAGTTTTGGTCCGAAGCTCTTTCTTCATGGGTTGAACCGGTAGAGATCTCCTCACTTACTGCCATCTGGGTCTAGCAGACTCTCTGCGTCTGTGCACAAACAGTTCCGGCGCTGTGTCCAGATCGTCCCCATGCAGTCCAAGAAACTGTCTAATTATATCAAAAGAATGAAACTTCCCAGTTCGACCTCCTGGAAATTTCACAAAATAGACCCCAGGGGCGATCGGGTGGATGAATGTACTCCTGAAAAAGGGAGTGGCAAGTTTCTTGTCTCTGAAATTCGTCGCAAATGAGAAAAGGATCCCCTCAAAAATTAGGAGGACATCCTTACAGGAGGGCATCCTTGTTTGGGAACTCCGGCTGCAAGTTCGTCCTGGTAAATAAATAATGGTTTGAAAGGAAGAAATCACCAAGAGTTTTAGCATAATCATAGCGGCCGAGGAAGTTGTTCAGAAATTGGTTTGAACGAGAACCAACACTTGGCATGTCCTGGAAAATAATACCCCTGGTGTTTTTGGGAGATTTTGGATTTGGGTGTCCTCAATGAAACATTGGAAGTTGATCCTTCAAAACAAAACACCCAATGCTTATGGGTGCCGTACAAGAAACACCCCATTTTTCCCTAAGTTTGGACCTGTTCACGTGCCACTTTCACTTCCCCCGCGTCCGCCACCGCGTCCGGCGGCACTGGGCCGAGAGGCAGGTGAGGTGTCTAGCAACTTGCGGCCTCCCTTGCACCACTTCCTCGGGTGCCAAGGCGAGTTCGGCCGAGGATTGGGTGCAGAAGAAAAAACTTGGAGACAAATGTGGTGACAAGATAGCGAAAAGCAGACCAGTGGCATGGGAACAGCCTCACTTGATTGGACAAATTATGGCTGGATCCATCGATGGAAGAGCCAGCATGAGCCAGCGACATTTGACTTGAACCCTTTGCTGACAAAGGACGCGCTTATTGGTCGAATTGCAGCACTGTCCGTGGATGGTCGTTTGTGGAGCAAAGAAACTCAAGGATGGAAGGTCGGTCCGGCATGCCAAATTGTGCATAATTCAGCCCTTCAAGTCACACGTTTCCCTCTCACATGTTCAACAAGTTGTTGTAAGAAAGGACGTCTGTCGCTGCAACTGCCGGCCGATGGTTGTCCCATGCTGTCGAGAGACCAGCCACTTCGCGCTTCTTCTGCTTCAGCCTCCTCCTGGAAGAAGCGCCCCCAGCAGGGCCACCGCATCACAGCAAGAAGGAACAAGAAGGTGTGAGTGGTGGGACGGAGGCATTTACTTCAAAAGGGGCCATTGAATAGATTAATTCCGAAAGTTGGTAGCAGCGCAACTATATTAGCGCGATGTAGTGCCTATGGGAAAATGGCCTACAACGAGTACTCACTTCCTAAGAGTCATCTGAGTCTGAATCACCCAACAAACCGAGAGCCTGTCAGTTCGGTCATCCGTTTTTGCAATCTTCTGAGCAGCCTTTTTGTCTGTCAGAAATTTGCGGGATTTGCATGTTTTTTGGTTTCTCACCGTTTCTCACCTTCCAGCAGCACCTTGAAGTGATCATTGGAAAGCACACCTACGACTGCGTCCAGCTGGTCAGATCCTTTATGTTTGTGCCCTTTGTACGGACCTATTTGGGACGTTGGGGCGATCTTTGGGAAACAGTTTATCTCTTCCAACAACTGGACGCAGCAAGTTTGGGAACCAAACCTCAAACCTCTGCGTGTTTTCTGTCGCCAACAAAGCCTTATCCCCCATGACTATCACCACTGCAGTAGAAGTAGCGGGAGCTGCGTCTGGGCTGTAGTGGCTGTCTCCTTCTCGTTCTTGCGTGCACCTTTTCCGCACTGGCGGAGCTATCTGATGTCGGCCCGTACTTCGACAAGAAGTCCAAGGAAGCGACCTCTCGCTCCATCGCTCCAAGTCCACAAAAAGATTTTGACAAGAAAGGAGACAGCAGCATGTGCATTGCACGCTTGCAGGCACGTTGTCTGGGAAACATCTCTTCAAACTGTTCCTGGCATTTTGAACCATGTGACATGGCGCACTGCCAAAAGCTGCTTTGGCAATCTGCAGTTCATCTTTCTGATTCATCCAAATGCTCATTGCCGAGCAAAGCCTTGACAGCGAGCAAACGCGTGAACTCTTTGGCCAAAGATGCCTGGAAACTCAGAAAGAAATTGCCCTTCCGAAGCCGGGCCCACGAGAGGCCAAATCTAGGAAGCGAAGTGTTTGCTCCAACCCACCCGCGCCTGTTCTTTTGCCTCAGCTAAATTGTGTACTCTAAACGAACTTGAACCTTGAGCTTGGTCTTCACGCTGTCACCCTCATCTGCCTTACCAAGGCTTGCAGAAGCCCGGGAACACCCTGTAAGTCTTTGGCACACAAGCGCGGCTTTCAGGCATGCTCAGTCAAGGACCAGCACAGTACAGCTGCGCGAAGTTTCCGAGCAGCCCAAATTTTTTGGAAGCGATCTACGTACTTTTTCCATGTAAGATCTGGTTGCTGTAGCTTGCAAAGCCTCTGGCATAATCCTAATCATGCGCATGTGGAGGAGTGCTCAAGCATTTGCTGCGAAGTGCAAAACCAACGTCCGCCGCGGTCTCTCTTACAGGAAAAGCACCAAGTGGAGAAGTAGCCGGGGTGCTTCTTGAAAACAGGAGTGGTCTGTATTAATCCACTCCTCAGTGAGGATGCGTGCTGCATATTAGTCCAGTTGTTTGCCAAGGCTTCGTCGCAGGCGCTGATCAAGCAATGACATGACCAGTGTTTACTATCGCCTGCGCTGTGGTATCAGAATCGTTCATTAGGCACCAGCCTCGTTCTGGATCTTGGAACAGCTTGCTCTCAGCGTCAGCGAAGCATTAGGGAGGCTTCATCCTGCAAGTGAGAAACAACTTTTTTTTCCTAAGCAACACCAGCAAATCAGAAGCTCTAGAGCCTCCTGCCCTTAGTCTCTCTGGCACAAGGTTTGCGCCAACTGGGTTTCAAAAAGAGCTGCGCCGTGGTTCCCTGAGCTCGACACTGAAAAGTGAGAAACAACAATGTCCCGTGACTTTCCTGACTGTGAAACTTGTGAAGCCTCAAAGGCCCCCCCCAATGCACCAAACATGCTGCAATCGCCCGGCTACTTTTTTGGCCTTTGATCACTTTGATCAGATCTATTTCTGCCTGCACCTTGTTGCACTTGTGCCCCAGCTTTGCACAACGGTTCTGAAGTTGTCGCACAGTCAGCGAGCTGTTTGAACTTTCGACGCTTGAAATCTTCCAAGTTCAAATCATGGTGCAAAGCCTGTTTTAGCTCCTGTGATTTCTGGACTGCTTGATCAACACGTGGCACAGGATGCGCTGTTGCAGTCTGAACAAAATGTTCAGCAAATTATGAAGCTGCCATGCTTGCAAACGTGCATTGTCCGACATGGGCGCCCCATCGAGATGCAAAAGACATGCAAGGATTTACTGAAAAAGATGTTCCCAGTCCTTGGAAAAAATTGTTCCATTCCTGTGCTCTGTGCTGATGCTGTTTACATAGCTCCACCACCTATGCCAAGTTCTATCACCTTTTAACCTAGTTTTTATTTACATGGCACCTGAAAAAGGCGGACTAGTTATCACATTTACACAAACAAGGCTGTATGTACACAGGTGCAAAACACAATCTTTGATTCCTTTGATGTCTGTGTGATTTGCAACCAATCCGAAGGTACCCCAATCTGGTTTTTCAATGGTTTTCAAAAGCATCGCGCAATCTGACCAGTCCAAGACGTCTCGAGTCATTTCAAGCCAGAAACGCCACTGACTCCAATCCAACCGCTGGTCAGACGCCAGATGCCCCACATTCCGAACCTGAGAAGCCATCCCGGCGACAAGCCCAGCTCTCCAATCCACCCCTCCGTCGACCACATCCCCGGGGTCTCCGGTGGTGGCACCGGCTCGGGCATGAAGTTCTTCCGCTCCACGAACTTCTGCCGCCCGCGCACCGGGCCGCCCTCCTGGAGACGTTGCGCATGTGTTGCGCATGTGTCTGCGGGTGTTGGAGGTCTTCCCAAGACCGTGGCAACTCATATTACGGATCCAGTACCCCAATCCCTTGACGACAAGGTGGTCCCGTTACAGGTTCCTGTGATGGAGAAAACTACTTGGACATGGAATGATCGGACCGAACCTCCTCCGCCAAGTAGGTCTACAGTCTACACTCAAACTACATGCTAAGCGGAGGAGCCCTGGTCCACCATGTAGCTTGACCTCCCAGGTAGGTCAACCGGTCGGTCTCCTGGTTATGGCCCACAGTCACATGCTAAGCGGATGCTCCGCATCCCGTTCTTCCGGTGTTCGGTTCTTTCTTTGCCGATCCCGGGACGTCGGCGGACGTCGGCTGAGCGTCGGCGGAGCGCCTGGATCGGAAGATCCATGCAGGAGAGGTCCACGTTGAGCTCTTTAAAGGTGGCTTTCTGTGGCTTGATCTGGGTCCGGTCAGGTCATCCACCGCGATTCGGGAAGGCAGGCAGATTCGGGCCAAAGAGCGGAGGGTGGACCGGGCTGTTCGAAGCGGAGGAGAACTCACAGACTGATGGGTTGGGGTGGAGTTTAGTGGGCGGATGACATGACACACATACTGACGGATTGTTTTCATTATTGTTCCCTTGAAGCCAGAAACTCGGAAAAAGCAACTGAGATTTGAGCTGGACCATAAGAGTGACACCGTTTCCACTCCTGATCTCCATGAAAACCTGGATTTCATCCGATTGCACTGGCGATGTTCGGTCACGCGGAAACCGGCAAGTTGACTCAAAGACCCTGTGGTGTAGATGGGGAAAACCATGCATGAAAGCCATGACCATCGACAAGAGTGATTGGAAGGAATTGAAACATACAAGCACGTGCCAAGTTGGAATAAAGTCATACAACATCGCTATGCCAATGCCACCCAACAAGAGCATGCGATCATCTAAGATGCAGTGTGAGCATTCATCAAACGACCACCTGAAGGGGCGGATGAACTCGGATTTACAAGCTACAGTGGCTGTGCCTAGGGTCTCTCATGTGATGTAGAGCGCTTTGTTCAAACTCGCGTAGCAACCTATAGCTTGGACCCACTGAAAGATTGCTGAAATTCCAGCTCATAATTTGGAGAACCGGCCCAACAACCAAGGCATTCGAGAAGAGTTACCCTCCAACAAACCACGGATTTGTAGAGGAATATCGTCATCCTTTCGGGGCCGTGACATCCACATAGCCATGGACGTGGGAGCGTACCTACCTTTCAGCCACGTCGTTCGAAGGCTCCAGTCTGGGCGAAGGACTCCACAGCGAGTCCCGTCCGAGTGGCATTGTCGCTAAAGAGGATGTCTAAAATGTCCTGATCTGGGTAGCTCCTGGCCATCGGGTGCCAGGATATCCCCAAGTACGGGTGCATCAGTGGGGCGCAACAAACAAATTGTGAACTGTGATGTGGAAAATCTGTAGCCAACAGCCCAAGTACAACGGATAACAAACAAGAAATTCTCCCAAGTCTGTTCACTTCTGTCTCTCGTTCACCGCAGACCACAGCCCCCCCATCACGTCCATCCTCTCCCAGCCATCTGACCGCGCCACGTACCGCCCAGGTCGCTTCGGTCCACCGCTGGACGCGCACGCGGACGCGTCCACGGGGCGCCTGCTCTCCCCGCGGTCCGCACGCAGCCGCATCTCCACCACGTGATCCGGGACCGCGGCACGGAGCTTTTCGTCGACGACCTAAGGCGGCAGGGAGGAACGGCAGAACTGGTTTTCATGAAGGGGGTTTGTGTGGAGGGTTCGGAAAAGAGTTCGGTGATTCATTCGGAGGTGGAACACATATGAATGCTGGTTGACCATTCCACGTGTCTCGTTGCTTGGTTGGGAGCCATTTTGTTGATGGGAGAGAGGGAGGGAGAGGGAGAGGGGGAGAGCGAGCAAGAGCAGCAAATTGAAACATGGACAGGGCATGATAGGGCCGTGTTCTGTTTCCGTGGATGCGTCCAACGCCAAAACCCGGTCCGGTCTACATGGCCGGATCAGTTCGAGTTGTGGGACCGGTCGAGAACCGTGGACTGGTCAGTCTGGTTTCATGCGTCAGGTCGTCAGTCTGGGAGCTCCAGGTGTCCTCGGATTCCTCGGTGAAAGGTCAGCAACTTCGATGGGTTTCTCGGTGATTCCAGGGACTTTGAACCTCCTCAGCGGAGGTCCTACTCTTTGGACCTCGGACTCTGAGAGGTGGATGAACTGCTCGAATGAACAGATCAGCCAGCCCTACAGATCATCTGTAGGACCGACTGGTCAGGAGGTCTTCTGTTGTAAGAGGTAAAAAAACAATAAAGTCAAACATGGGTATGTCAGTATGTATCAGTATTAGTCTTCTGTTGTATACTCAGTATGTATCTCCATCTTTTTTCTTTCGTTCGCTATTCGAGGTTTTTCACCGCTAGCTATGTATGTATCTCCATCCCCTTCCGATACACACGGCACACGTGTGCAGCCCAAGAGGCCCAGCGCGCGGGCTCACAATGACAGTTCCGGCGCCGGTGGTCCTACCGTTCGGGCTAGGGAACCGAGGGTCTCCCGGGAACCTACGATCGAAACGACGCCAGGGAACGGTTTCTGCAGGGTGGCCGTTCTCTCCATCGAGTGAACAACCAGGAGTTAAGAACAGTGATCTGTATATCTAAAGGTTTCGAGTGATTGGTCCTGTCAAGCGCTTTGCAAGAAGGAGGCAGCTATGGTCATTTGTCGCTTGCTTGGGGGTGCACCCCATGAAACGGCAAGATTGGAAGTTTCCTCTCTGAAACCTTCCCCCAGAGTCGAACGTTCTCCGGTGACATGCGACCGTTTTCTTTCACATCGCCCCCGCGTGGAGCGGGTGCGGTTCACCTCGCCGAAGCGAAGCCGCCAAGCCTGCAGGGGATGGAATGGTTGACATGGGAAGAGGTCCGCTTGGGACCATTTGGGATGTGAAGGTTGGTGAACCGTTGTGTGTTCGAAGAGGCTTCACAATTAACTGTTAATCACTTGAGGTTAGGACCGGCACCAAAAGAAGGTTCACAGCTTGATGGCCCAATCCCATGTCTGAAAAAAAAGAGGCATGAGTGTTTTCAGATGAAATTTAGAACCAAAAATGTATAATACGGTAGCTGAAAAGGCTCGCCACTCAGAAACCCAGGACCTAGTGCTGTTTTCACACCGTCCTGAAATCACGCGCGATAGAAGCGGCGTGACGCGCAAAGGCCTTGCAGCTTTCAAAGCAGCTGGCACATCTTTGGGCAATCATCGCCTAGGATCGCAAGGAACCTGGACATATATACATAGACCCCCAAATAGATAGAAGTTCGTAGATCCCCACGTAGAAAATGTATCGGAAACCATGGTACAGACTCATCCAACCCCAAAATGTCCATCTCCTCCTAAACATAATATTAGCTTTCCGGCTTCCAATAGATCTGTTAGGGGACGTGTTTCGAAATGGGTGGATGCGTACGACTCCTCCGAAATTTACAACTCCCCGAGATGGTTCTGTTCATGTTCTTTTTCTCTTTTTTAAGCCACTCTTCGGCGGTGGATGACCATCTCCTTCGGTTATCACTACAGCCAAGTGAGTGTGTATACCTCAAACAGGGAGATCTGTTTGGTCGTTGAATAACTGATGTTTGCTTTTGCACGGAGTCCAACTAGTATTAGACCACAACGCATTGGTTGGGTTTGCCTTACGCTTAGCTGACAGCAACCACCGCATAGTCACAGTAGTGGGTGAAACTACAAAGGCCAAAAAACCATTGGTTGGGAGTCCCCCTCTTTAAAAGCACACCCACATAACACCGACCGGGTCGTGTTTTGCCCATGGCATCTCTCCTGCCGCAGGCACAGATCTTCCGGTCGAAAACCTCCGTCCTCCGTGCGACACGGCCATCCTTCAGCAGGAGCTCTCTCATCGTTCCTGGAAGCGCCATGCCATGTGCCAGGAAGCGAGGTTGTGATCGATTCACTTGAAAGGAATATGATCTAGTCGACCATAAAGAGAAGGGTCTAGTCTAGTCTTATGCAAGTTCTCCGCTCCGGTTCTTACGAATACCCAATATTCCATACTGTGACAAACAGTAGTCCTATGAATGAAGTGAATCAATGCCGACAAATCTAAGAAGGTGGGGCCCACCCAGTAGTTGCTCTTCGCCTGGCACGTTCCTTTTCGGGGGATGTGTGATGGTCCGAAACCTGCTGGACACATCACATAGCAGTGGAAGGCATGGCCGCCACAGGAGACGATGTTCCTCTACACTGGCCAAGGTGGTTGCCACTTCCAGTGGGATGTGTTCGTCATTAGTATATATAGACCTTGCCAAACACATCTGGCGCCCGTCTGATCCAAACGTATGTCGACCTGCGGGCAGTGGTTCAAGGGGTTGGCCACCGGGACGAGGGGAGGGAGGAGGGTCGGGACGGTCGAGACCAGATTCGTTGCAAAACGACCAAAAGACACGGCACGACCAAGTGCGCGGCACGACCCAGATGCCTACTGGGATGTAGCCATCCTCATCGAAATCGATGGACTGCAAGATCTCATCTGCTTCGTCACTCTCACACTCGACTGCCCCACTCTTCAAGAGGCTGTCCTGAGCTTGGTGGGACTTCTCACAAAAAGACGGCAAAAATTCACAGAATTCCAAGCAATTGCTGGGTGGGTTGGGTTGCCCAAGATTTAAAGAAGGGTATCTAAACTAAGTGACTAAGAGCTCCACCCTTTTGACCTTCGATATTAAGTTATACCAGCATAGACCCCAAACAGTTTCAAAACAGTTCGTTTGGACAAGTATTTGTCAAAAACGATTTCTTGGTACGCCCTACTCCTACCTTCCCCCCCCCAAGAACTGCATCAATGATTTTTGTCGGCATCGACATCGCTATTTGCTCGGCCACAAGAGAAGACAAGAGAAGAGCAGGACAAGAGGAGGACAAGACCCGGTCACAGAGCCCGGCCACAGAGTTCAGGGGCGAGGCCAGTCAGTTTTCTAAGATAGAACCCCAACAGTAAACTGTTTGGTGAAAAAACACATAACATATACTAAAAGCCTGCTTTTCCAATAACTTCAACCCCTTTTGCGACCGTCAAGTTCAAATCCCTTCCAATAGTCTAGTTCTAAATCAATGGATCTCCAACAAATCCCTCGCTTTCCAAAGGTTGCTCTCTCTGCTGGTCAGGCCGCATACGAGAAGTCCCGTCCACCATCACTGGGATCCAAAACTCAGAAGCCCCGTGTGAATGAAATACTAAACATCCTATGAACATATCCACCTGGTTCGATTCTTCAAAGAACCATATTCGCAAAAAAAGACAGAATAGTTGGACTCACGAGTCAATCATAAACACAAAAATCTCCTGGCTGATGTGAACATTGTAATTGGTTTTAAGGCGTTTCTGGATGAAAACTCGTTTCGTTCGCTTCAGGAGACCTCGTGTCTCTCGGTCCGAGCTTCGACCTGCGCTTTGGTGAGCTGGCCTTCTTCATCATAGTCTAATTCAAGGAACAAGTCTTGCAGAAATTGCAAGGAGTACCTTGGAGTGGCTAAATCAGAAGCAGAGGAAAAGCACTGAAAAATGTCTCCATTCCCCACCCCGTTTCCCAACCAAAGGCAAGAATGTCTCCAATGAAGTTCAGAGGATACCAGGATTCATACACTGGCCAGCATCTGAAGAGCGGGACTCTTCGGTGAAACTGCCCGAAAACTCTCCCCTCTCCTCGCATCCAAAAGGAACACACCTGTATTTTTTATGTTGTTCATTGTTGTTAGAGCCTCCGTGGTCTGTTTCTCCTCTCTTAGCTCTGCTTCGCTTGCTTCAGGTCACTGTTCCCGCAGTCGGAGGGCCCCGTCCATCCAGAGGCTCCACTCCAACATGCCGCCCTGGCCACAGAGCGCTGCATACCTCACGAACCACGGCCGGCTCACCGGGTCAGCGGATTCCGAAAAGACTCGATGGTTGAGTTCTTCCCACGGGTCGTTTGATCCATTTGATTGCATTTTGGGTGGGTTGTTTGATCTCCAAGACACGAGGGCTTCTACATGTTTGTACCTCTTCACTACTCTCCCAAAGGCGAAGAAACGTCCAGGATCTTCTAGAGGTCATCTAGACTGGCGTATAGATCAATGACTCAAAGCCATCTTCCTGAATCATAATCTCCACTATCTGACCTATTATGTAAAGATCTGACCTATGATTGCTACAGGCTTCACCCTCAATATATAGACCCCCAAATAGATAGAAAAGTCAAATCCCCAAAATGGTAATTGAAAACTGTGCCACTATCTATTGGACCACTATACCATACTTGAGTGGCATTATGCAGCTCTTCTATACTCTTCTGCGCTCACACTACGGCCAGAGGCACTCGCGGGCACAGCCTCCTCGAACTCCATAGTCCACCAGCAGCTCGACCACGCCCTCGCAGGGCGCTGAGGGCGTTTTGCTCGAGCTTCGCAAAGTCTGTTGGAGTTCCCGAAGCTCCTCAGCGACCACGGCAGCTTTTGGTGTTGTGGGCGAGGCGGATCAGACTCGGTGGAGGCAGAAGTGGAGCGACCGCAGCGACACATGGCTGGAGTGAAAGGATCAGAAGAATCGAGGTAAAAATGCTCCCATTTAGCCCTGTCATTGTGCGTCGCTCCCAGTTCTCTGGGAGCGGAAGAAGTGCGCGCACATGACACGTTCACTTTATGGCCTTGAAACGATGCCTTGTTCCTTCAAGGGATTCGTGCAATGTCGTTCATGACAAATGGTAAGGACGAAGGACGCACGAAGAACTCGCCCAAATGGGTACCAAGTCCGGAGCTACGGCTACACACGGCTACGGCAATCCAAAAAGTGGGAAGCCTTAGATCATCATTTCTTTGTCTTCGATCACAGAATGTTTTTTGAAAGGCCTCCCTGCTAGATCCTGCTAGTTGTTTCTATTGGTTTTGATATCATGTAGCTGTATGGCCCATCTGACATTACTTGGGATTTCCTTCCGCCAAAAGGCCAGCTTGACAAACATTGAAGCAACAACAGCTGAACCACCCCAAGAATTTTGCCTGTGGCGAAGCTTAATGTCATGCCCACAAGTTGTTTGATGCTGGGTGGGAATGTACTGTCTGCCTAGGATCTCCACATGCCCTGTCCCCAGCCTACTTATGTAAAGGGGAAAGTCAATAAGGTCCTACTTTGAGTGAGAAATGTCTGATACTGTAAAGCTACCTTGGAAAAACACATCTATGTTCAGATTGTCTTTTGCTATTCAGTGCTCCTTTGAGATCGCCGGATGTTTAGAGGTCACGCATGGTCTTCTCAACAAACAAACGCTTCTTATAGTAAACATATGTAAACATGCCCCGCCAAAAAATGAATGGACCCCAAAAATCCACTGATGGTCTTTCGGAAAATGGGTTTCCACACATGTACCTTTTTCAGAAACCACATGGTTTTCTTCACCGTCACCGTCACGGACCGTCGTTCAACATCCGACCGGAAGACAGGCGGCGCGGAGGTTGTTCTTGGAGGCCAACTCGTACATCACTTGCTCGCGCAAGCATTGCGCCGTGGAGCTGCCGATCCTCACTTCGCTCCATCGCGAGTGACCCAGCTCGATCGACCGAAACCGGTGAAGACCGACCACCCGACCGACACCGTGGCATTATTCTGGGCAGGGGGGGACTTGCCATGTGATAGATGCAAAATGGTGCTCCAACCCTCTTGGGTGTGTATATATATATATAACTTGGAGGGAACAGACCTGTTTGCAATTTGTATGAAATGACTCCAGTAACGTTCGACATAAGTGTATCTCAGTATCTCTGTATAATTGTGTATCAGAAGCATCGCACTGTGTTAGATGCACTTATTTACAAGCCAAAAAAGGATTGCCACGGCTTACTGACACATCAAAATCTGGTTGCAAGCATGATTTCGCTATAAAATGGGGGTAACAACTCGGTGACAACCCCTTGAGGGGTGCCACCATGAAACGTTTTAGATGTAGTCCCCGTGCATTTCATAGTGGGAAATGCCACGCGAATCCAAAAACAAAAAATAAGACACACGATGGGCTTCAAGGCGTGTGGGGAGAGACCGTGTGGAAGACGAAGTTGTTTGGTAAACCTGTGGTGCAAACTTCCGAGAAAAGCCCATGGTTGTTCGGAAAAAAGACTCTTCCCATCGAGGTGGTGTTTTTCAAAGAAAGGGCAGCAGGATGAAGGCGTCAGTGGATGAGATGCTTCAAATGCCTCAAGTCAAAGGACACCAGTTGAAACCCCCGATTTCTCCAGCCTTCCATTGCATATCCCCATGAACAACTGCCCACAACATACACAAACATCTGGTGACCATGATCTGGTGGGCCCTCATTCCTAATCCGACGGTACAGGTGAAGTGTTTCAGGTGGAACACGCCACTCAAGCTGAAGCTCAGAGGTAGACCAAGGCCCATAGGGATCTTTGTTCAGCTCAGACCAGGTGACGCTCCCAGATCCCCCAGACCTACTTGTTGGGTCGCTCGCCCCGAAAAAGCATGGTTTCGCTCGCCGGGGTGTGTCCTGCCCCAGCGCCACACAGGCATGGTGGAGGAGGTCGAACAAAAAGAGCACCAAAAGGACGAGAAGATGATGTTTGATGCCCCAAGAAGAACATCTCATTTTCGACTCGTGTTTGCTCGTTTTCGTGGAACACACCTCAACACACCGATGTGAATCGTTTTCACCCACCTCGGCTCCTCACCTCGGCTCACGTCACATCTTCCCTCACATGTTTCGCCCAAAGCTCAAGGCCGCCCTGTTCTCCGCCGGCAGGTCCGCATCGGACTCCAGTCGGAACCACTCCTCGGGCGACGCGTGGTGTTCTCCGTGCCATGGGTTGTTGATGCGATTCCTTACGACGCTGACTGCTGAGCAAAGAAGAAGCCATCATGAATCAGAACATTGGAGATCATGTGGTTTCATCCAGATAGGTGAGGTTTTTAATCATCAAGAGCAAAGTCTCGATGTGATGATCACTTCCATCTCACTCCATTCTCGTCAGTGATGGGCTCAAGACCTC